TCTTTTTTTTCACTACTGTGTAGGCCATGGAAATCTAACCTGCAAACTCCATATGTATGCTATCCATTCCGCCATCATCAAACAGTGTACTGGTAGTTTTTACTACTAATATATAATTTCACTGAAAAATATATTATCAAGGAATTACAATAAAGATGAATGTAATGTATTTCATTGAAAGATATTTTGCTTGAAATTAAACATATGGTCAATTATTTGCCAACACAATGGAAGAGGAAAATATATTGCATGACCTACTCTGCTTTATATTTTAAATGTATTACGGTACTATAAAATATGTTATTTCAGCTGGAATTAATTTTCGGTGATATTTTATTTTCATTGATTTAATTATAGGAAAATTATATTTGCTGGATTTTATTTTCACTGAATCATCCCTTCAGCGAAAATAATGAAAATAAATTCCAAGTAAAAGTATTTTACAGTATTATTCATTTCGAGAATAATATTAATAAAATATGTTTATGTTATCAATATAAACAGGAACAACTTCCAGTGAAAAGGAAGATTAATAGCTGTACACCATTGTTGAAAGCATAATGTGTACGGTACGCTGAATGCTTTTAATTATTAGGTATATTAATGTATAGTATACAGTAGTATAAAAAAGAGATCAGCACTGATAATATGCTTTGAAATGAGGTCAAATAAATAAATAGTCTTATGAAACTTAATTAATTTCTAATACAACTACATGTATCATGTTATTCATTCTTTTTTTTTAAACATTTTATAATTTATAGATATTTATTTCAATAATATCAGCATTACAATAGACTGAGTATTCACGTTATTATTCAGTCAATATTCCATACTGCAAGCATATACAATAGTTCCTCTACCTTTATTTTTTAAGGGCGATAATCTTCGCACCACGCATGCTTGAGCTATACCGGTATGGGTATCATATCATCATAGATAACAAATTTGACCAAGAGTACAAACTGAGACGTTACCAAGCTTTAATTAGGTATTTTTTTAGGTGATTGAAAGGTATTGAAGGAGTCGTCAGTGGTAATTAATGCAAGTCACACCAAGGTCAAACCTCATACTTGTGATTTCCATTGGAAGAGCGCATCGGATTGTGGGAAAATCAATGTTTATCAACACAAATGGACATAATTTTCCATTGTATACATTGTCCTGCCCAACATTTTAAAAATAATCTATTCTGATTCTAACAATGCAGATGCCTGTATTGTATAATACATGCCTAAAAATGGCTGACCATGGGAGATCTTTAACCCTCCCCCCGAGCCAAAGTGCTAAATTTGCTGAAAAATATATACCCAATACAGACAAATTTGTACATTTGTTTTGTATATTATGGGCAGTATCCAAAATAAAATGTTTTTTCTTTTTCTTTTATAATTGAAAAATCCATTTCGTTGATTTTGAAGGATTATTTTCTTCTCCTTTTCTATTTAACATTCAACGGATCAACAGTTAGCGAAAATAAATTTAACACAAAACACCCAAATTGTCTTTTCAGTAAAAAATAATTCCAGGTGAAATAAAGTATTTTATAGTATAAGCTTTATATAGATTTCTTGCAAGATTAAAGACTGAAGAATAAGACTCTTTTCCACCATTTACTTATATAATTTTGTATTCAACAAAAAATCCAGTTAAACTTTAGTGATTGTTGCCATCAAGAGTTGCACAGCAACAGTCTTTACATGTCACAATAGTCAATAAAAGCTTCATTGAACCGCAAAAAAACAACAAAAACAGACGTTTTCAATGTTAGACTGTGTCTCAAATTGGTATTAATGCAGGTAAGAAATAATACCAACTTAACCAAGTATCAAAAAGATGAGGGTATGCAACTTTCATATGTACAATGATATGATATGATAAAGGTGTCGCAAGAAGTGAACTTTTGTGCTTTGATGTCATTTGAAAATGATCACATTCCATGCACGCAATAATGTATTTCTCAACCAATACCATCACAGAATGCAATTGAATGCTTGGAATGGTTTAATTGTGTAAAAAGAAATAAACAATATTATTATACATCTGTCACTGTAACGCCATAAGTTACAGCGTGCTGTAATTTTGAGGTATTTAACAGGGTTTTTTCATCCTACCATATTAGGGAATGCAAATTCCAAATATGGAATGATTACGCATGTAAGCATCCTCTAATAATAAAAACAAACATGGCTGCCATCAGGGTTTGACCGGACTCCAGACAAAGAAGTTCGCTGATTCTGTTCTAAACATTTTGGATTTCGGCATTCCCATGATGTATCCTTGGAAGGAAAAGATGTATAATAATAAGGTTATTACGAGAATACCTCAAAGTATGCACTCAGACAGTACGCCAGCATCGACCTCCACTGCATGTCGGATGATACTCCAGCTGTACTGTCATCGTGCATACTTTGAGGAATTCTCGCAATAACCTCATATTATTAGCTCGAGCACTG